CATGCCATAGAAGGTGTTCTTCATCATCCAACCCCTTCAAAAGCTCCAGGTGAGCTGTCAAAGCAGCTTTTAGGAAAGTCCACTCACTCTAGATTATGCTCAAACCAAATTTCACTTGCGGTCACACAGGCTGGAGGAAGGCAGAACTGCAGGCAAGGGAGCAACGCAAGAAACAAAGTGCAATGAGCAAAACCAGGTTACTCTTCCCTTTTACAAATGACCAGACGAGGCCTTGTCTAAGGACCTGAGACTTCTCTTTGGGAGTTAGATGTGTCAGCACATAGTGAAATGATACCAGGGTTTGCATTTTAGATCTTCTGCTTGAGGAGCTTGGTGGTTTATGAATATCATTGGTGAGATTACCATTAGTGAACCGTGTTACAGTGGTGATTAGCGTTTATTGAACACAAACCGGCAGCACTTGCATGAAGTATTTATGTACCTACTCCCTGAGATAATCTGCACTGCTGAAGAGATCCCCATGTACGTTTTCCAACCTGAACCCCACATCTTCGTAGCAGTAACCGTTCGTCTCCCTTTATAGAACATCAGAACCGGGAGCGAAAGCACGCAGGTTTAATTCTTCTGAGAAGCACAAATTTATTAAGACAATAGTATGCTCACCAAAAAGAAGTGGTTCAAAAGCTGCCTCTACTTCTGCAGTAATAGCATACCTAATTTTTTTCTTGAGATTTATTTTTTTTTTAAGATTTATTTTTTACTATTTTTTATTGGAAAGGCGGATATACAGAGAGGAGATACAGAGAGGAAGATCTTCCGTCCGATGATTCATTCCCCAAGTGAGCCGCAACAGCCGATACTATGCCGATCCGAAGCCAGGAGCCTCTTCCGGGTCTCCCACGCAGGTGCAGGGTCCCAAAGCCTTGGGCCGTCCTCGACTGCTTTCCCGGGCCACAGGCAGGGAGCTGGAAGGGAAGCGGGGCCGCTGGGATTAGAACCGGCGCCCATATGGGATCCCGGGCGTGCAAGGCGAGGACCTTTAACCACTTGCACCACCGCGCCGGGCCCCTTGAGATTTATTTTTATTGAAAAGGCAAATAAACAGAGGAAAGGAAATCTTCCAACTGCTGGTTCACTTCCCAAGTGGCCGCAAACAGCTGAAGCCGAGTCGATCTGAAGTCAGGAACCAGGAGCTTCTTCTGGGTCTCCCAGGTGGGTGCAGGGTCCAAAGGTTTTAGGCCGTCCTCCACTGCTTTCCCAGGCCTCAAGCAGTGAGCTGGATGGGTGAGTGGAGCAGCCAGGACACAAACCAGCACACATATGGGATCCCAGTGGATGTAAGAACCTTAGCTACCATGCTTGAACCACACATCTAATTTTTAAATGCAGTGGTTCTTCAGTGGCATTCATTAACTGTTTGGCTGCTGCAACTCTGCTTTGCCAATAGCAGTGCTGGTTACGGCTATGTCTCAAAGTACTAACTGTAGAAATGTTCAACTTCACGGAGTTGAAGCAGTATGCATGGATTTTGCTTGTAGCTATTTGTAACACTTCCCATTGAGAACGCCTGCATGGCAAACCTACTGAGGGCCTATCTAAAATTATCTTGACTATTTACCCATTTAAATAATGTAAGTGCACATAACATTATAGGTTGCAATTTTCTACTTTGGTGACGTTATTTTAACATATCTGAATAGTTTTTAGGCCATGTATTTTATTCCTGCTCTTTCAGAGTGGTGAGCAGGCAAGATCTGACCCCGATACCAGGAGGTAGACAGATTGGCAAGAGCCGAGTCCTTTGTAGGGAGATTCATTTCATTAACATTAAAGTAGAATGTATGTGGAAACCATGAGACATACAAGTAAATATCAAGTACAGATGGATTTTTACTGTCACTTCAGGACTGATGGTGTCTTTCACCATGCATCCTCACCTTACACTCTGCAATCCTCTCCCTTAAAGATTCATGTGTCCATAATTTGTAGTGTCCTATTTTGGTAGTTTTTTCTACTGTACCCTCCAGGATGAAGAAGAGGAACAGGAGAAGCAAGGGAAGAGAACAGCACGAGCCTGAGGGAAACAGATCCCAGCTGCTCTTCGACTCCAGCCACCTTGTCCGGGTTTCGGCATGTCAGACCTTCCAATCTGATGCAAGATCCAGCATCCACCTCACATCATTTAAATGTTCAGAATAAACTTGCCATAAATGTGTAAGACACAAGAGAGAAGAGGTGAAGATTTTAGAAACTGAGAAACCAGCACAACTCAAAACTGTCAACAGAGTGCAAAACTACCAGTCTGTCCTGGACACAGGTTATTCTCCAACAATTCCTAAAACAACCCAAAATTAATAGAAAGATCATTTCTGTGGTAATTATACTGACCCAATTACTGCATACACACAGTAAGATGAAGGTACTGTTATGACAATCTAGTAATGAGCCATGATGGGATTCTAGGAAGATTTATCAAGATTTAAATCACATGTGATGTATGAAGAAAGATTTCTAATCTGAATTACTAGAATAAAGTTAAGTGTCTACTGAATAAAAGAAAAATGTAAGAGAAGTAAATTGGTGTTAGAGAAGATTCATATTTTCAATGTGGTAGTTTCATTTATCAGACACCCAAGTAAAAGTGTTAAGTAGGAAGTTTGAGTTTAGGGCTCAGGAGTAAGATCCTGGCTGAAGATAAAATTTGTCGTTAAAACCACTGGCATTAAAGATAAAACATAAACTACTGAAGATGCTCCAAGGCAAGTACAACATTAAATAGACAGGTGAGTTTAGGGGTCGGAGGGAAGTCATGGCTGGCTGAGTCATTACAACCACTGGTATAAAGGTGCAGTCAGATAATTACGAAAGCAGCGAAAGTAACTAAGAGTCATAAACGCAGGAAAGAAAATCTGGCAAACGTGCTTGCTAGAAGCCAAACTCTTTTGTGAAAAGGAATCAGCAAGTACATGAAATGCTGATAATAGGGCAAGGAAAACGAGGGGGAAAGCCTCCTGTAACTTCAGTGGAATGGGGCCTGGCTCAACATCTTGAGGCTCGACTTGAAGGGGCCGCAATGTCATATGGACGCCAATTTATGCCCGCCAGCTCCACTTCCCATCCAGCTCCCCTCCTTGGCCTAGGATAGCAGCGAGGGAAGACCCAAAGGCTTGGGACCCTGCATCCTGGCTTCAGATCGGCACAGCAAAAGCTGTTGGGGCCAGTCAGGGAGTGAACCAAGGAATGGAAATCTTTGTCTCTCGTTTTCTCCGTAAATCTGATCTTCCATTCCAATAAGAATATTCAATCGAATGATAGAAAAGTCAAACAAGAATAGTTCAAGAGAAAAATGAGAAGGCAAATGAAAAACAATGAATGCAGATCACCTTTGTAGGCAGTAGATGACAAAACAAAATGAGGCTCTTCGGGTGGCTCTAGCTGGGCCTGACAGCAGACCATCAAGGACAGCCTCTGAAAGCTCTTTTCTGATTGCTGCTATTTATGAGGTCAGGAAGCAGAGCGAGCGGCAGGAAACATTAAAGTCAGAAAGTTCTCAGAGAAGCTATAGAACTATCTTCTTTGGTATAGATGTATTTATTTCTATTGGCAAGTCAGATATACAGAGAGGAGGAGAGATAGAACTTCTGTCCACTGCTTCACACCCCAAGTGGCCGCAACGGCCAGTGCTGTGCCAGTCCAAAGCCAGGAGCCAGAGCCTCTTCCAGATCCTCCCACACAGGTGAAGGATCCCAAAATTTTGGGCTGCCCTCGAATGCTTTCCCAAGCAGAGAGCTAGATGGGCAGCGGGGCTGCCAGGACACAAACCAGCACCCATATTGGATCCCAGCACATGCAAGGTGAGGACTTTAGCCATAAGGCTACTGCGTCAGGCCCAAAACTATTTTTTTTTTAAATGCAAAAGAATAGAGTAATACAGGTCACAATCACAAATTTCAAGCAAGTCTTCACACTTGGGTAGTGAACCATTTTTACTAAGAATCCACCCCATGGGTCAGTGTTGTGATGTAACACATTGAGCCTCAGGCTGCAGCACCAGCATCATTATGGGCACCAGTTCAAATCCCAGCTACTCTACTTTCAATCCAGCAACCTATTAATAGCATGGAAAAGCAGCAGAGGATGGCCCAAGTGTGTAAACCCCTATCCTACACGGCAGACTTAGAAGGTCCTGGCTCTAGAACAGCCCAGCTCCAGGTGTTGCGGCCATTCAGGGAGTAAAGCAGCTGATGGACAAACTCTCCATCTCTCTCCCTCTCTCTCCCTCTCTCTCTCTCTATATATATATATATATTGCAACTCAGCCTTTCAAATAAAGATAAACCTTTAAATACACACACACACTTCTCTCTCCAGTCTGTTTCTTCCTTTGATGAAGCAATTTCTCAAAACGTTTTTGATGATTATTGCTTGACCCCTTGTATGAAATATACTAAGGTGTTAATCTGACCTGCATTTGGACATACATGACAACAGCCACATTTTTTCATGTAATAAAGCAATAAGCAGAAAAACGTAAGACTCAGAGATTGATGTAGTGTCCCAGTATATACTCAGGATTTCTCTCCTTCCTAGCCCGATACCTTCCTAGAGTCCAAACTGTTGTCCTGTCATTCTCCTGTTCCTTTACTGTGCGTTTTCTTTGAATTTCTTAGACTGCTGGGTCCTTATTTTCACCTTTCTGGCTCTGTATGTCCCTCTTGCCTTTAATTTTCAGTTTTCCTTCTGTTTTTGTTCCCTCTCTCCTTTGGCTGGTTTGTTTGTTTTTCTTGGGTTTTTTTTTCCCTTATTCTACACATCACTTCCAATTTCTGGTCTCTTACTGAGATACCACCATGGTTTGTTCTTGTTTCTACAGGGCCTGCCCTGCCCCAATTTCTAGTTGAAGTTTCTATATGACACATACCACTAGTGAATAAAACTAAGACAGCAGAATAATGCTGAATTTCAATGTCAGTCAAGTCTTCGGCTATTATTTCACGTAAGGTATTACTTTCCTCACAAAGCAATTTCATGAGATCAGGTTACAATGAATATTTATTTGGTTATCTTAGGAACTCTAAAATCAAACAATTTCTTAAACAGAAGGCATGATCTCTATCAGCCCTTCCAAGAAAACCTACTCCATAACTGAAGTACCAAAACTCCAAGGAATATACTGCTAAAAGGGGAAAAAAGGCATTTACTAAACTTCCACAGGAAGACTGTATAAACCTGGCAGTAGTTTAAGCACACATCAGCCTGCACCCAACTTACTACACAGGCTCAAAAATGAACAAAAATCAAAACTTTATATAAATCTTTTTGTTCTTAACAAGGCTCAGAAAACTACCACTCTCTGAAGAATGTGATGGGCACTCATTGATTACATTATATAAGCAGGTATAATCAAAGAAAGGAAAGTGAACAATTTGGATTTCAAAGCAAACAGAAGTAAATCACTGAATAGAAGCAAAATCTGTTGAATCCATTCTTTACTTCCAATCTAAAACAGACATTCAGAACTGGAATCGTCAGAATTTTCTAGTATCTTGAATATCCCCATCTTTTCTTTAATTGATCCTGACGTATTCATTTGATCTAAAAGAAAAACATCAAAACAGTTGCTTTAAAAAATATATATTTAAAACCACAGAGAAAAAAAACATTAGAAATCTGTTGTACAAAATAAGATGTTTAAGAGAAACTCTTAAACATTATAAATCACTTGGCTAATCAAAATCTCCTGTTTGAATTTTAGACACACAAGATATACCCCAATAAGCACAATACCAATTAGAACTTCATTTTTAAGAGATTTTTTTTAATAAACCCAATCACACTTTAGAAAGCAAGAGATTATGAAAAAAATTTACCTAAACTTACATTTCAAATCATTATGAAGGTGCAGTCAACACTCCAACTATGGAATTAAATCTCTGCTGATTTATTTGGAAAATTTTTTGAAAGCATTTGGTTATGTTCATCTACTTGAAAGTCATTTAAAGAGATTCAAGCCATTGACTCATTACCCAAATGCCTACAATAGCCAAGGCAGAAATTCAACCTTGGCCCTCAACATGTGTGGCAGGGACAAAATGTGCCAGCGGCACACCTGGTGCCTGTTGGCTACAAATTAGAAGGAAGCTGGGATGAGTGGAGACGAGACTCAAACCCAGGAGCCTCAATACGCAGTGCTCATCAAAAGTGGTTCCTTAACTGCCAGGCCAAATGCCTGTCCTGGCACTGTTTTTGTTTCTTTCACATTCTTTCTTGTAATATTAAATTGAGGCTTTCCCCTTCCTTTCTTAACACTTACTTATTTGAAAAGCAGAGTGACAGAGTTTGTAGCAGTCCACTCCCACATGACCACAACCACCATTGTCTGCTGCCTCCAAGCTTGTTCTCAGGAAGCTGATACTGAAGCTGAGGTAGGACTGTCATGCTCTCTATTCAGGGGTCCCAAGCAGTAGCCTAACTCACTGAGCTGCAACACACATCCAACATTGCCCGAAAATCTCCGTTTTCCTTGCTGCCTCTTGTCCATGCTGCAAATACTATCTGTGAACTCCTAATGAATTAGTTGTCTTTTGTATGGGTCATCAACATTAATATCAGTTGTTTCATAATGTTTGAATACTATCTTATTTACAAATCTTTTTATAATCTCTAAACTGATAATTATATCTTCCTCTTAAGTAAGTTTGCTGTTAATATTTAGGTTTTTAATACATATATGGCATGTTGTGCCTCTAGCTGGGTGTGAACTGGAACAAAGTACTGGTATTCTTGATGAAGACATCAACACCAATCTGATTAAGCAAGAGGAACTACTGACAGAAGAGCTACTGACCAGTAGACAAAAAAATATGCAAAATATTTCAGAGTTCAGTAAAAAGAATGAATTAGACAAATTCAAGAAGACAGGCTACTTTCTAGACAAATAATTCAGTTTTACCAACAAATCAATGCGATGAAAACACAAAAAGAGACGCCTTTAAATCAGTGACACTTGAACATTGACAATACAGAAAATCAGAACAGAGATTAAATAGTTGGAATTAAGGAATTAGAGCCACTTCTCTTCAATGTAAATATTGGCACTGTATATGCTTAAAACATGTTCTGCTCAGTAAAGGTGTATAATAGTACTTAGGGGCAAGCCATCGTGATGAATCTGAAATCTGACTTTAACAATGCAATACAAGAGAAACAGCAATGAAGAAAACTGGCTGCATGCTGTGAACTGTACAGGCGAGTGAGCTGCACAGGTTCTCATTCACTCAACTATCCTGTCTGTGCACGCTTCGGTTTCTATTCAAAAGCAAGTACAAGATACTTACCGATAAGATCGCTTCGATCCAATAGCAACTCAAGATCTTTATCGCTAATGACTTTTTCTCTTGATCCTTTTACTTCCCTATAGAAAACAAAATGCTCAAGTCTATATGAATAAATCAAAAACATACACTATATCTTTTTCTAAAATTAAGAAAGCTTACCTTTCATAATCTCTAGATTTTAATAACTCCATCAATTCCTTAGGATCTAAGAAATTCTTAGATTGATTTAATCCAGACTGACCACCTTTGAAATGATCTAAAACAAAATTTAAAAATATTAGAATTTGTTTTAAAATTGTAACTGTACATTAGAATCAGTGGTTTACAATAAAAAAAGACTCCAAACATTAGGAGAAACAACTAAAATTGATTTTGCCGGTGGAAATGTAAAATTAGAGGTTCACTGAGGAAACGGTTTAATATACATACACCCTGCATCCTAAATAAAGAACAAACAAATGAATTATGTCCTCAGGGTTTATTAAAAATAACCACAATCTGAAGACAATCCAAATGTTCATTAACAGAAAAGTGACTATAAAGATGAGCAAAAGCGGTTGTATATAAAAAGCACTCACAACTGAATAGTTAAAGAAAAAAATCTCAGAATCCATGTGACAAAAATGAGAACAGTGCTGGGGCCAGGATCATGGCGTACTCAGTTAGGATCCCACCTATGATGCCAGCATCCCAGGTAGGTGACAGCTCAAGTCCTGGCTGCTCCTCTTCTAATCCAGCTCCCTGCTAACGTGCCTGGGAAAGCCGTGGAACATGTCCCCAGTGCTCGGGCCCTGCACCAAGGTGGGAGACTGAGAAGATAAACTCTGGGCTCAAGACAGCCACCAAGCCATTAATGAATGAAGAAAAGAACTTCTTAAGAATATATATTTTTAAGTTTTTTGATTTGAAACACATAGTTACAAGGGAAAGGAGAGAGATATTATATCTGTTGGTTCACTCCCAAAATGTCCACAAAGGTCAGAGCTGAGCTGGTCTGAAACTGGGAAGCAGGATCTGCTTCTGGGTCTTCTATCTGCACAAGGGGCCAAGCAAGTGAGCAAAGCCCCAACTGCTTCCACAGCTCTTTGAGAGAGTGGTTTCAGAAGCAGACCAGCCAGGCCTCAACTCTGTGCCCATACTGCAAAATCAGCCCAACAATCAGAAACTCAACCTGTAAATAAATTTTTATAATATTCCTGCAATACTACTGATATACCCTAAAACAATTTACAGGAGGGTTGGAAGCTTTCTTAAAATTTAATCAGGCCAAGTATCAAGACTGGACGCTAACATAATGCCAAATTCCCAATAGAGTTTGATGTCATCTTAAACATACCATCAACATCATTCTACCTCTGTCCCTTTGTTCCTCATCTGAACACACACTAGCTGTCTTTTCATTTCCATAATCACAAACTTAGTTTAAGGCTCTCAGCAGCTACACGTTTTCAACTGCTTATATAAATCTTTTCATATTAAGCTGCACCTTGCAGTACACAATGAACAACTGAAGGAAAAGTATGACTAACCTAATCATACTTCTGGGCCTGACATGATGGCTCAACTGGCTAGTCCTCTATATCCAAGCACCAGGATCTTCTATGGGCACTGGTTCACATCCCGCGTACTCCACTTCCCATCCAGTTCCCTGTTTATGGCCTGGGAAAGCAGCAGAGAATGGCCCAGGGCCCTGGGATCCTTCACCCACATGGGAGACCCACAAGATCCTGGCTCCCTGCTTCAGTCAACCCAGCTCGGTTCAGCTCCAGCCGTTTGCACAGTGAACCAGCAGATGGAAAGATTCGTCTCGTTCTCTCTGTGAATCTACTTTTACAATAATCACTTACTTTTATGGATGATCAACTTTTCCAATTTTCTTTTAGCAGCTGCCCTTTCCACAATTTTTTGATCAATGGTATTTGCTGTAACAAGGCGATATACAACAACTGGTTTTGTCTGACCAATTCTATGACATCTGTCCTGGGCTTGAAGATCAGACTGAGGATTCTTGAAAGTTAAAAAGAAATATTTTGTTAGCCTCATAGTACGAGCAAAGTCAACTTACATGATCTGATCAGAAACTTTAAAATACTGCCTGAGATCAACTTAGACTTTCAGAGTGGCTTCAATCTCATTCTTGGCACATTTTGACAGTCATTTTAAAAAAATAACATTCCAAAAGAAACATCTCAAATTTTTATATGTAATAAACCTGATTTAAGGAATGATCCTTAATTGTAAAGACACATTTCAAGTGATAAAAGAAACCGCAACCTGTACCAGTAAAAAGTTTTTAAATTAAAAATGGGAGCATGTACTAACGTAGTAATATAGGGAAAAACAATGGGAGGGAATGCAGCGTTGGAGGGGGTAATCCCTGTACCTATGGAATTGTATCATGAAAAAGTAATGACAATGAAAAATCAAAAAAAAGAAAAAATGAAGGCATAATAAGCATATTGACAGCACTTCTAACTTACCCAATCACTATCATAAATTATAACTGTATCTGCTGCAGTCAAATTAATGCCCAAGCCACCAGCTCTTGTACTCACTAAGAAGATAAATACATCTGGGTCTGTGTTGAAGCTGTGCATCTAAAATCAAAAAGAAAAAAAACATAGCGAATTAGGAAATTTACCAGTCATACAAGGGGAAAACTGCTGTTAACTAAAGGTTTATCCCAGGGAGGTCAAACTAATCATCCAAGGCTGTGAAAGAATTTTGTTAGCTGGGCCTGGCAGCTAAAGTCCTCGCCTTGAATGTGCTGGGATCCCATATGGGCGCCAGTTCTAATCCCAGCAGCTCCACTTCCCATCCAGCTCCCTGCCTGTGGCCTAGCAAAGCAGTTGAGGACGGTCCAAGGCCTTGGGACCCTGCACTCATGTGGGAGACCCAGAAGAAGTTCCTGGCTCCTGGCTTTGGATCGGCATAGCATCAGCCGTTGCGCTCACTTGGGGAGTGAATCATTGGACGGAAGATCTTCCTCTCTGTCTCTCCTCCTGTCTCTGTATATCTGACTTTCCAATAAATAAATAAATCTTTAAAAAAAAAAAAAGAATTTTGTTAGCTAAGAAAATGTTTAATGATGCTGATAAACATCTATTTTTTACTGAGCTTTGAATTTTAAAAAACATAAAACATAGGAATTTAAATGTAAAAAAATAGTAGAAAGAAAATTCCTACTGGTTGTCTAGGAGATAAGGTAAGTACAATGGGTAAATTAATTAGAAGGGAACACAGAAAGCTTTCTAAGTTAAAGGCAAAGTTTTATATCTCAACAGGTGTTTGGGACATACTTAGATGTCAAAATTCAACAAATAGACACTTATTCAGGATAGTTAAATCTCACTCTCAAAGGATAAAATATTTTAAATGCATTAGAAGATACAGTCATTTACCTACAACTTATTTTGAAATGCAAAAATAACAGAGGATGGAATGTTGACTGGATAGAGCAATTGCCTGATGCTGTAACAAGTTATTTAATCAAAGAGGTACAATCAAATGTTAACAGCAGGGGGCCCAGGATTATGAAGCAGTGAGTTAATCTACTGCTTTAGACACTAGCATTACATATTGGAGACCCAGCTGCAACATTTCCATCCCAGCTTCCACCTAACGTGCCTGGTAAGGTTCTAGAAGTGTTTGGAACCTGTCATTCACATGTGAGAACTACATGGATGGAGCTTCAGGGTCCTGGCTTCCACGTGGCCCAAAACTGGCTGTTGTGGCCATTTAGGAAGTCAACAAACAGATGAAAGACATCTCTCTCATTCTTTGTCACTGTTTCAAACAAAAAAAAAAATTTTTAAGTTAATGGTATATTTTTAAGATTTACATTTTTTATTGTAAAAATTTCTCAATTTTTCACTATGTATATTTGAAATTTTCACAATAAAAATGTTGGGAAGGAAAGGCAATAGGTCACAAGGAAAAATTTTTCTTATTCTAATATTTCCATAGTATTGGCTAAGTAGGGTATGATATATAAGGCTGTACCAGAAGATATGTATACACTGATGTAGGAACCAAACATGAGGACTTTCTTACAGTACACTATAATATCTATTTTGACTCTGCCCTGGGATTATCAATCATTTCTAATAATCATTATTTTGAACATTACTTCAAAAATCAAGAAAGTTTTGAGTTGTAGTCTTACATTTTTCTCTCTCTCTGAGTAAGACATGGATCCATCAAGTCTGCTAAAGTTGAAATCTCTAAGCTGGCAGTAATCCATCAAAATGTCCAACATCCTTGTCATTTGTGAAAAAAGCAGCACCTGAAAATTTAAACACATTTTGTTATATATACTAATAAAAAATAAACCAAGCACTTTTTAAAGATTACAATCAAAAACAACACCTTGTGACTTCTTTTTTTCAGCTCTGGCAGCATTCGATCCAAAATTAAGAATTTCCCAGAATTTGTTACTAATTCTTCGTCAATCTGAAAAATTACCCAAAAGAAGAGAAATGCATCATGACACTTACTAATCATTTATTTGCTTTGAGTTAAATTCATCTTAATAGCTCAAATTTCCAGTGATAAGTCACAATTTCTTAAAACTTGCTTTCTTAACTCAACCTTCTCAATTAAGAAATAGCTATTTCTCAAGCAAAGACACATTCTAGAACCTGTGATCTATGCAATATTTAAAGAGACTTCACAAGAGAACAGCAATATCAGACTGTATATATTAAGATGCTCTTAATGATGCAAGCTTCCAACAAAGGGTATATAAAAATTAAAACACTGTTACTCATAAACCAAGAATTGAGACTGCAGGAATTTTTCTTCTTCTAGTGAAATTATCTCATCAAGGAAGCACTTTCATTTGTGTAGTAAAGCTTTATCTTCCTCCTTACTCAAAGAACATAAAGCAGCAGTTCTCAGACAGGTCGACCTTGCTCTCTCGGCAGTGGCTAGACTTTATATGGGGCATACAGCCACAGTTGCTGCCAAATGTTCTACAGCAAAAAGACATTACCTTAAGAAGTTCAATAAGTCAAAATGTCATATTGCCAGCAATAAGAAATCCTACTGTAAACTAGTAAGAAATGAAGGTCAACTACGGTTTTTATCAAGCGATTTAATATTATTACTATGCCATTTTTCTATCAACTGCTAAAGAAAGGAAACTTTGGCCCCGGGATAGTAGCCTAGTGGCTAAAGTCCTCATCTTGCACACACTAGGATCCCGTATGGGCATTGGCTTGCATCCTGGCAGCCCCACTTCCCATCCAGCTTCCCGCTTGTGTCCTGGGAAAACAGCCTTTGAACCCTGCATCCATTTGGGAGACCTGGAAGAAGCTCCAGGCTCCTGGCTTCAGATTGGCTCAGCTCTGGCCATTGTGGCAACCTGTAGAGTGAACCAGCAGATGGAAGATCTGTCTCTCTTCCTCTCTATATGACTTTCCAATAAAAATAAATAAATAAACTTAAAAAAAAAAAAAGGAAGGAAATTTCACTCACTCAATCTGAAAACCCACAACTCAGTACTCTCCTGTGGCTACAGAAGCAATGAACAGAGCAGCCAAGCAGATTGTGGCAAGGTGAACATTAATGAAAAAGAACATGGCACCAAGGACAACTATCTCTAAAATAACAAGTTAAATCAACTACCTTACATAGTGTCAATGAATTCTTAGCTATTCATACAAAACACTGATTACCTTGCTCAGACAATAAGCATCACTTTAACTCCCTTAGGGTTCTTTAGCGGCCAGAGCTATGAGAGCAGGTACAGAACCACCTGCAATGCCAGCATCCCATTTTGATGCTAGTTAAGAGGCCTAGCAGCTTCCTATCCACACTCTGGTTAGGGCAACCAGGGAAGCAGGGAAAGACGCAGTTCTTGGGCCCCGGCCACCCATATGCAAGATGAGTCAGCCTTAGTCACAGGGACATCTGGTGAGTGAACCAGCAAATGGCAGACTGTTCTCTATGGCAGACTGTTCTCTCTCTCTCTGCCCATAACGTTGCCTTTCAAATAAATTAGTAAAATCTTAAATATATATGTATGCATAAAGATCCGCTACATTTGGAGGAAAAGTCTGAGTTTACTACAAGGATTGTAATTTTTCCATGGCAAACAGCATTAGCATTTAAAAAATAATCAAGCCAAATAAAATTACATTTTCTTCTAATATAAAAATCACAGAAAACAATCAATTACTAAATGGTACTCACCTTAAATTCTTGTGTAACAGGATCTATAGGGTACTCAATCAAATATGGATGATTACAACATTTACGAAGTAACATCATTATATTCTGTAACTTCAAATTAACCTCAGATTCCAGTGGGACACTCATTTGCACAACAGTTCTATCAAAAACACACAATGCATGAAAATGAGAAATATAAAATAAAAACACAGAGTCTAAAGAAAACTTAAACTTATTTTTTTCTCTTTCATAATACAGTTCCCTTCCTTTCCTCCCCCATCCATTAAACTTATTTTTAAAATCACACCTTTCTCGTTCCACCTCTGGCTGAATTTGACTGATCAATTTTTCCAATTCATTAGGGAAATCATCTATCTTGCTGTAATTTATTGATTTTCTAGTTCGCCGTTTTGGTCGTCCAGTAGGACTTAGCTCAACTGTTTCTTTCTAAAAGACAACAAAATAAAGACTATCTGATTAAAAGCTATATTCTTTAGTCAATATCATAGTGAATAAAATTTTTTAAGATTTAAAGGTTAAGCAATTCTCAAAGACAAAATATCAGACACCCATAACCTGTACCCAAAGCAAAATGCTGCATTAAATTTGCTGTCACACAAATTAGCAATCTCAAGATAACTATTTCAGTAGAGAAAAATTAAGGAGGAATAAAACCATTTTGAACTTACATTCTAGTAACCATAGTAGTTATCAATGCCATCCCACAGAAGATATGCTTAATTGTATAAACACCTTAGTACAGTCCATCTCAAATGACTATGTGCTGGTTAAAAATACATACTCAAGCCTGGCACAACGGTTTAACAGCTAATCCTTCACATGCCAGCACCAGCATCCCATATGGGCACCAGTTCTACTCCCAGCTGCTCCATTTCTATCGAGCTCCCTTCTTGTGGCCTGGGAAGGCAACAAAGGATGGCTCAACTCCTTGGGCCCCTGCACCTACATGGGAGCACCTGGCTCCTGGCTTTGGATCAGCTCAGTTTAGGCTGTTGCAGCCATTCAGGGAGTGACCAGAGAGGAAGATCATTCTCTCCTTCTCTCTGTAAATATGCCTTTCCAATAAAAATAAAAAAATCTTTTAACAAAAAAATCCATAACCAATCAGTGTGATTAGGGTTAACCTGGATTAGTTAAGACTACAATCTATATTTTTAGCAAGCATTACAAGTGCAAGCAATACAGGGCCAAGCACGGCAGCGTGGTGGCTAGTCACACCTTGAATGCACCGGGATCCCATATGGATGCCAGTTCTAATCCTGGAGGATCCGCTTCCCATCCAGCTCCCTGCTTGTGACCTGGGAAAGCAGTGAAGGACAGCCCAAAACCTTGCAGCCATGCACCCATGTGGGAGACCAGGAAGGCTTCGGATCAGCTCAGCTCAGCTCCAGCCATTGCAGCCACTTGGGGATTGAATCAATGACAGAAGATCTTTCTTTCCTCCTGTCATTGTATATCTGACTTTACAATAAAATTTTTTTTAAATGCAAACAACATAAAAATTTTAGCACCATCAAATACTTATGTGTTAACTCATTCTCCCACAAACTTTCTAAAGTACATACACAGACACCAGCAAATAACTTTTGTAACTCATTTTATACCTTATACTCTAATCAGAAATTAAACTACAAATACTGAAAATGTGTGAAGAGCTTTCAAAGACTGAAATCAAGCATGAAAATCTATACCCCAAAATTCATTTTCAATGTCTTTCAATCCCACACTGTACCTCAATGGACCCAAACATTTTTGCAATGGTGCGGTTCACAATGGCCGTGTAGAAGATCTCTTGTTTCTTTGAAAGTGGTGCATAAACAACTACTTCTCGTTTAGGAGGAACTTCAAGAGCAACATCAGATTTCAGCCTTCTCAGTAAGAAAGGTGTCAGAATCTAAAATGAACAAGTATAAATGTTAAGCAGCTCTACTTCTCCAGACAGTATTTTTTCTTACTCCTTTACTTTTTCTCATTAGTTCCTACGTAAATAATTATCAAGTGTAAAATGATATTACAGTATCATCATCTTGACATTTTCCTAGGTCAAAAAAGCACATGATAAATGCATTACATTTATCCACAGCATTTCACCATTTACTTCTCATTCAAACATTTTAACAATATCTTTGCAGTGATTTATTTCAATGTCACAGTGAGAGTTTTCCACAGTACTTTCTTAGCTATACTACATGATGATGATGTCATGCCAAAACACATCTCTTCCTTAGTAAGTCTTTTTCTCTCAACACTGAAAAGCTGCCATGACAATTATTGGTACAATGAAGTCTGTAAACTTCAGATTCATGCATTTATTGTCTGCAAATACCAAACTTTACCTAGAAAACCGAAGGGGAAAAAAAACTTTATCGTTACACAAACCTTTAAGAAACAAACTTTCAACTCATAAAGAACTACAAATGATCAACAGATGAGCAACACATGAATAATCGGAACCTCCTCAACTCCAATGGGAACACATTTTCAAGAACTTCTAACTCTCACGATTAGCATTCATATTGAGAAGTAAATATCACAATTCCTGTGAATTTCTATCACTCCCTTCTAGAACAATTTGCCTAGGTCAATAATACTTCACAGTATGCTTTTTTTCTGCAGGTTTTTTTCTTAAAAAAAAAAACAGAAATAAGCAAAGATGTAATGGTGAATAGATACCAGCACCTTGCCTATGAGAGGATTTTTTTTTCCAAAAGAAAGAGACAGTTAATTATAGAGGGACAACACAATGGGACACCAACTATCTACTAAAAACTGAACATATGTGCTTAGAAAAAATATTCTTATTTTTAAAACTATTTTAGGGAACAATGTTTATTTATTTTCTTTAGTTTTTATTTGTTTGAAAGGCAGAAAGACAGAGAAACAGAGACATCCCCAAACATACGCACACATACACACACGGAGGAGACATTGCATCTACTCGCTCCCTTAAAAAATATAAATAAAGCTCATGGTACATGATTACAAAGATAGAATAGAATCTGTCAGGGCATTAATTACAACTTAATCATTGAGCATATACAGCCAGGGAGTACGTACTGAATCAAAACAGATGAGGTTTTATTTTTACTTTTCATCTCTCTACTATTTTACATATATATTTTTAGATTTAATTATTTTTATTACAAAGTCAGATATACAGAGAGGAGGAGAGACAAACAGGAAGATTTTCCATCCGATGATTCACTTCCCAAGTGACCGCAACAGCCGGGGCTATGCCGATCCGAAGCCAGGAGCCAGGAACTTTCTCCAGGTCTCCCACCTGGGTGCAGGGTCCCAAGGTTTTGGGCTGTCCTTCACCACTTTCCCAGGCCACAAGCAGGGAGCTGGATGGGAAGCAGAGCCGCTGGGATTAGAAGCTGCACCCATATGTGATCTGGGTACATTCAAGGTGAGGACTTTAGCCACTAGGTTACGCCGTCGGGCCCTATTTTATATTTTTCTCATAGGCACAAATAAACTTTAAGATCAGAAAAATGGTAAACATTGAATGAAATCATCAAAATACAACTCAAAAGCTATTCAAGCCCAAAATATCTGGAGACCTTTAAGATTATGTCAGAAGACAGGTGAGGGGCAGGGCTAGAAATTACAGGGAGCAGCAACAATGGAATAGAAACCACTTATGCAAGTAAAATAGAAAGTTTTACAGAAAAAAAAAAAAAAACTGTCGCATAACACCACATTTCACTTCTGGTTGGTAACCATAGGGAATAAGATGAGCATATATGAGGAAGGCAAAATTGGATAAGTATTCTGGGAGTGAAGAAAACATGTCATTTAAATCTGAGGAAAGCCCTGATTTTCTAAGCCTCTAACAGTGGCTGGCCAGGCTGTCTAGGGCTCCCTTCTGACTCTATGTTCCCACAGCAAGCAGAGTAAGAAAGTGGTCAAAACCTGGTGCAGCATATGCAGTACGTTCTGTTCCCTTTCTTTAGCAATAATATCTTCAGCAGTTTCAGACAGACTGGTGATGTCAAACCAAGACTCAAAGCTAGAAGAAAAAAAAGGTACAAGTCAATATTCCACACATTCAATTATATTAACAGAATATACTCTGTAATTTCATATTAGTCTCCCTTTATTGGAAAGTATCAATACTGTCATATCAAATCTTCAGATTCAACTTTAATTACAAAGACCACATTTAAAATACAAAGATAAAATAATTGTTATTTGTGATGTTAGATATTTTTCTATTTATATTAATAACTTTACAACAGTATAAACTGAAAGATAAAAGCACACAATCTTATTATATTTCAACAATTTTATAAGTGAAAATATATTCCTGAACATTTACTGTGGTTCATCTCCACAAGCATAAACCTTAGTTTATGACCTACTAAACCTTAGTTCTCTGCAATATAAAAGTCCATTAAAGTGAGTAATCTGGTTTTAGGCTGCAGATACACATAATATATTCTAAGTAATACTACCAGACAGTAAATCCACTTATAAAACATGCATAGTAACACTTATGCAGTAGATAAACCTCAGTCACTTGAAACAAGCTTAAAATGCACATTATCAGCCTGAATCTCAATTCACTAGGTTTTCCATAAGACTTAGAAATCTTGAGCTTTAATTTAGTGTCCAGAATTGAAATAAGAAAGCCTGGGGCTTAAACCAGTACTTGCTACCCAGAATGGGAAATTTGCAAAAGAAAAAATTAAAAGTTATTTTCTCAGATTCATTCAGCTTTCCTCCTCCAATGATGTCAAAATAAACATGGATACATTCTTTAGACTGGGTTTTGTTGTATCTCCATGCTACCTACAGAAGCATTGCTTCTTTCATCCTGAGGAGACTACTGGAAGACTTTGTGCTTTGGTTCTAGTGTGAACTAATTATGCTTTATTCCCTCCAACTATTTACCAAAAATTTTTTAACCCAACTGAAAGTATTTTACAAAGATGTTTTTAAAAGTCTTAAGATAAAAACATGTTAAAGTAAAATTTACAAGTTTCACTTTTAATAAATCCAAATGTTTTAAATACTCTTATTTGTCTTCTCTCACACAAGAAGATGTACACATGTATGTGGGATCTTCAGAGCTCATGCCAAATGGATATTACAAATAAAAAAATCTATCTATATGTTCCAAAATTCTTTTAACCAAAGAAAGAACATCTTTTAATTCTACTTTTCCATGAACTTTTGGGAAAAAAAATATTACAAAGAATTTGACATTTAAAAATGTATTGATTACCTAGAGAAAAGGAATTCATTCTAATAAGATACAGTTTTTGAGGTTTAGCAAATATAGAAAAGTCACATAACTGGCTCACCTACCTTTTTAAGTCATCAAATACATCTGGCAACAAAAAATTTAGCAATGACCAAAGTTCTGATAAATTGTTTTGCAATGGTGTACCAGTCAAAAGAAGCTTATTATCAGCATTGAACCGTTTTAACTCCCTTATTAGCCGGCAGTTCATATTCTTAATTCTGTGTCCTTCATCTACTATTAAGTATTTCCAATAGCAATGCTAGAAAATGAATCAAGGGAAAAATTTTAAAAGCTGATCTCACAATTTTACTGAAAAGCAAATCTACAAATATAAATGTTGACTCTTATCCAATATCATTATTGAGATAATTGTTTCCCTTTGAGTACTAAAGGAGTAACTGATTCCTTAAATTAGTTTTAATTTTTATGTTCCTAGAACAGACCTCAGCAAGTCATGAACTAATACGTAAAGCCCATCTGCTCTCATGTCTTAAAGTCAAAGCAGTTCATAACGTTCCTTAAACCACATCTCCCACAGGGGTAGCAAGAAACCAATCACTTGATCCATCCATCAGCAATGCCTTCTAAGTCTGCACTGGTGGGAAGCTTAAGTCAGGTGCTAGAGCTGAAAATTTAACTCAAGCGCTATCATGCAAGTTAGTTACTTGAATGATATGCTCAATTTTTACTCCAGCCAAATTTTGATATCAATGTTACAGACTAAATTTCTAAATAACTGAAAGCTTTATTAGTAACATGCTAGAAAATATTAAACAGCATTAGACTTCTTATCCTTTCAAACAAATTATTTTCATTTTCCTTAAAGGCAGAACAGTACAATCAGAGCATGAGCTCCCATCCACTGGATCACATCCCAAATGCCTACAACATCCAACTTGAGCTAGAACAAAGACAATCCAACACACCCAGATCTCCCATATGGGTTCGTAAGGTCCAACACTTGGGCCATCGCCTGCTCTCTCCCAGAACACATCAGAATGCTGGTACAGGGCCCGGCGGCGTGGCCTAGCAGCTAAAGTCCTCACCATGAATGTACCCAGATCCCATATCGACACCTTTTTTCTAATCTCGGCAGCTCCACTTCCCATCAGCACCCTGCCTGTGGCCTGGGAAAGCAGTCGAGGATGGCCCAAAGCTTTGGGACCCTGCACCTGTGTGGGAGACCTGGAGGAAGTTCCTGGATCCCAGCTTCAGATCAGCACAGCATCAGCCGTTGCGCTCACCTGGGGAGTGAATCATCGGATAGAAGATCTTCCTCTCTGTCTCTACCTCTTTATATATCTGACTTTGCAATAAAAATAAATCCTTAAAAAAAAGAAAGCTGGTACAGAAGAAGAGTAGCAGGAATTCTAACTAGCACTCCAATACGGGATGTGGGTATCCCAAATGACACAATGTCCAGCCCAGAGGTTTTATTCTTTTTTTCCCCCTAAGATTTATTTATTTTTTGAGAGGCAGGTGCACAGAGAGGAGAGACAGATATTCCCTTTATGGGTTCACTCCCCAAATGGCCACAGCAGCCTATGCTTAGCTGAGCTGAAGGTGGGAGCCAAGTGAGAGCCAACTGGGAGCCAGTCATCACATGGGTGCAGGATCCCAAACACCTCAGCCACCCTCAGCTGCTTTCCGAGGCCACAAGCAGGGAACTGGATTGAGGTGGAACAGCTGTGACATGACACAAACCAGCAACCAGCACTTATACAGGATGCTGGTGACAAAGCTCAGTGGATCAGTGTGCTATGACACTGTACCAGCCAACACAGTATATTCTTTTTTTTTTTAAAGATTTATTTTTATTATTTTTTTATTGGAAAGGCGGATATACAGAGAGGAGAGACAGAGAGGAAGATCTTCCATCCGATGATTCACTCCCCAAGTGAGCCGCAACGGCCGGTGCTATGCCGACCCGAGGCCAGGAGCCTCTTCCGGGTCTCCCACACGGGTGCCAGGTCCCAAAGCTTTGGGCTGTCCTCGACTGCTTTCCCAGGCCACAGGCAGGGAGCTGGAAGGGAAGTGGGGCTGCCAGGATTAGAACCGGCGCCCATATGGGATCCCGGGCGTGCAAGGTGAGGACCTTAACCACTTGCGCCACCGCGCCGGGCCCAACACAGTATATTCTTAACAAAATAGAAAAAATCAACTCTTTAAAATTATATCAAAATAATTATTTTTCCAGAAATACGAAAAACTAGAAAGCCTGTCTCAGCACTAAAAACCTATTGAAAAATGCCAGAAAAAAAATGTAAAACACCCTTTATAATAATTAGAATAGAATAATAAAGCAAGCAGAAATGATAAAAAAAAAAAATCTAAAACACAAACTGGTAGCGGAATCTCTTATTTTTATCATTCACAAATAGGTACTCTGGAACTCGAATCCCATATAACCTAATTAAGACATTTAAAATTATAACAGGCTCAGTGATGGCAAACGTAGAAGCATTCTAGCCACCAGCAAATGGAACTCAAAAACAAGATAAGCTATTTCAAAGCAGTCTTTGTGTTGTTTTCCCAAGTGGCAATCTGGAGTAACTTGTACAGTGCGATCCTATGCGGAGATAATTCCTATATGTTAACAGTAGTTATTTAATATTAAGACAAGTGCCCTTACATCTTTCTGCACACTACTTTTTCTGATTGTCCTATATTGCACTTACAATAAAGATATGGTTTTGATACACTTTAATTCCATACATATTCATAAATTTGATAAACTAGGATTTCTATAAACCATGTTCCAAAGTTCTACCAACACATCTAAAATTTGACAAATACTCTTTGTGACTATAGAAGCCATAATTACTTTACTTTTTTAAGTTACTTTCATTGCAGTTAAGCAAGAAAGATGTGAGGGGACTGTACTTGTCAGATTATTACATAATCAGGTTAGGAAAAACAAAGCAAAATCAATTACGTGTGAATCAAGTTGACCAGCAAGGATGAAGTTCAAAACACAAAACATGAAAACAATAAGGAAAAAGGAACAATATTCTACTTGCATGGTAACTTGGGTGTGAATAAGTAGAGGATCAAGAAAACAAAGTAAGGAAATATATAACTCCACAGTCCTTAACAGTCTAAAAATAACTTGTTTTTAAATATTCCCTTATTTCATAGAATTTACCACATGGGACACTTGAAACCCTTTCCAAGTACCTCCCAGCTCCGCTTCCCATTCCAGCTTCCGGGCAATGAGTATGCGGCACAGAAGCAGAGATCTTTTCTATCCACTGAGGTCTTTTCCATCCACACATAAGACATAAGCTGCTAGTTTGGTCTGCCCGTCCTTGGCTGTTTCACCATTTAAAGAATAAACCAAAGATGGAAGATCTCCCTGGCAGTGTTTCTATCTTTCTGTCTTTCAAATAATTGATTAAAGACACAAATAAAAGCCCAGAGCAGTAGCCCAGTGGCTAAAGTCCTCGCCTTGCATGTTCTGGGATCCCATATGGTCACTGGTTCTAATCCCGGCAGTCCCAGTTCCCATCCAGCTCCCTGCTTGTGGCCTGGGAAAGCAGTCAAAGACTACCCAGAGCTTTGGGACCCTGCACCCATGTGGGAGATTCAGAAGACAGCTCCAGCCACTGCAGTCATTTGGGGAATAAATTAATGGGTGTAGTAAGACCTTCCTCTCTGTCTGTCCTCCTCTCTGTGTATCTGCCATCCCAATAAAATAAGTAAATAAATAGACAAGCCTAAAAGGATAGGTAAATTCCACTTATTTAAAGTACATACCAGAAACATATCTACACACAGATTATTTATGCCTAATTCTAAATAGGAGGGTGAGAGCAAGCATGATTAAGCAGTAGTTTAAGTCACTGCATTGGACATCCCATAGTGGAACACACTGTTCAAGTCCCAGCTGCTGGGTCTCCACCTGGGCCTAGCCCAACCCCAGCTACTACAGGCATCCAGGGAGCGAACTCTGTCACTCTGCCTTTCAAACAAATGGAACTTAACTTAAATTAAAATAATTAAAATAAAAAATAAACTTAAAATTAGGACCAGCAAGTGAAATTCCAAGAGCATTAATTTTGTTAAGAGTTTACAACCTTTACCCCAATCCTTTTTTTTTTTTTTTACTTCAAGCCTGGAAATACTGGGACAGTATGTACAATGTAACTGATTATGATACTGCTAAGTGAGAAAATGATATAAATTAAGAAAAAGGCAATTGATGAAATCAATAGACCATCCATACCTGCAGAGCATTTCGGTCTCTCATTGCTATTTCAAACGACGTGATGACCACCGGATGGATCTGCAGGGTCCCGTTCCGTTTGTGAATATTTCTTACCAATTTTCGGCGTTCCTGCTGGGTTCCGTGATATAACATGGTAGGAATCTAAAAGATTTTATATTGATTTAAAATAAAGACCAATTAGTTGAAAATAAATCATTATCTTAGATAAAAAGCAAAATAATAACAATAATAATTTCCATTTGATATCTCTGTAACAAAATAAGCAATTTTTATAAATCACTTAACGCATACAAAAAATGTCTTGTTTTTAAAGACAGATGGCGGGCATTTGGCAGCATTGTTTGGGATGCCTGTCAGCCCCTGGAGACCTGGACAAGTCCTGCCTCTACTTTCGGCTCCATCTTCCTGCTAACACCCAGAAATAAAAAAGTAAGAGAAACACAAGGAATGCATTTCTAGCATACAGACTTCCAAAGAGGAAGCTATGCAGACAGGAGGGAAAAACCACTAGGGAAAGAAGCAGTACTTCTTTCAAACTGGAGTAGTATTAAGATGTTGGGACACACCTGTCCAACTTCAGGGTGTTGGGTTTAAATCCTGGCTACCCTCGAATTTCTGGCTCCTATTACCGCACACCCTGTGAAGCAGCAGTAATTTCCCAAGCGGCTGGGTTCCTGTCCTTCTGCTTTGGCCTGGCTAAAGCACAGCTACTACTATATGCATTTGGGGACTAAACTAACACACTGATATTTTTTCTATTTATCTGAATACAAACTAATTTGTAACAATTCTGGGCAAGGTGCAATAGCCTGGTGGCTAAATCATTGCCTTGCATTCGCTGGGATCCCACTGGGTACCAGTTCATGTCCCAGCTGCTCCACTTCCCATCCAGCTCCCTGCTGGATGTGGTGTAGGAAAGCAGTCAAGGATGACCCAAAGTCTTGGGACCCTGCACCTGCACAGGAGACCTGAAAGAGGTTCCTGGCTCCTGGCTTTGGATTGGCTCGGCTCTCACCGTTGCAGCCACTTAAGAGTGAGCCAGTGGACAGAATCTTTCTCCCTGTTTCTCCTAACAATCTGACTATCCAATAACACTAAATAAACAAATAAATAAATATAAATATAAAAAACTATCTAGGTCTGTCTCAGGTGAATCAATCTATTCAATACACTAAAAATCAGATTACCAATACCTATTTCATAATTTCAATTAAGACATTGCACGTATTTAAAACTCAAATCAGATGTAATGTTTATCCAGAAATAAGTATACAGTAGGAAGAAATTCTCTCAATAACAGATAAACAAAAGTGAAACAATCCATTTAACGTAAGAAAACATGTCTTACTTCTGGTGTAAATCTTTTAAACTCCGCCATCCAGTTGGGAAGTGTAGACAAAGGCCCACAGACAAGGAAAGGTCCAGGCACACCTCTCTGAATCATCAACGCAATTGTAGCAATGCACTGAACCGTCTTTCCCAGGCCCATCTCATCTGCTAAAATGCCATTAATTCCATTTTCCCAAAGCATCTGGAAAAACAATATACACTGTATTTAAACTTCAATAACCCCCAGTAACTTAGCAATAGCTTCTTTTCAAACTCCACACCCTGAACTGACATTCATGTTGACTGCCATATTTATACAAGAAATTACAGCTATACTTGCTTAAATCCTTTACCAAATCCTTACTTTGAAAACCTTAAAAAAATAAAACTCTAAAAATTTACTAAGGGTGAATCAATCAAAAATGTTTATCTATACAAAATACTTGTTTCTTATATAATAGTATAGGTTATTATAACATAATTATAATAGGTTATTATAGAAAAAATGAAAACATTAATTCATTACCCTAAGCCATTCCATGCCTTCTACTTGGTACCAACGCATCACTCCTCCCGTGAAGTGCTTTGGTTGCTGAAAGGGTACTGGTTGTCCATCATATTTCCGATCTGGATCAAAAAAGAGTTTAGCATTCTGCCTGACAGTTTGAGACAATCTATTCTTAATTATACTATTTGAATCTTTGTTTTTTTGCAGATCTTCCACACAAAGGTTAGTAGTAGAGCTTTCATCCTATAAAGAAAAATGTCTGATTAAAAGACTGATATAAATTGGTTATATTCAAAGCTTCCCAAACAAAACTGAAGAAAATCAATTATTAAACACTTTAAATTTTTTTATCTTATTTATTTAAAAGGCACATCAGAGAGGTTTCCCATCCAGTAGTGACCATACTAATCCAGTATTGTCCCAGTCAACAGACAAGAGCCAGGACTCCATCCCAGCTTCATTGAGGGCAGCAGGAACCCATCACTAATACTCACAGGGTACATTTTAGCAGGAAGCTGCAAGAGCTACAAACCCAACATACAACACTGCAGATTGATATTGAAGAAGCAACAGTGGTGAGGGTGTCTGACCCAAGTTAAAGCACCCCACATCAGAATACCTGGGTTCGATAGCTGGCCGCAGCTGATTCCAGCTTTCCGTGAGGGTTTACCCCTGGAAGGCAGTGCTGCTGGCTCCATTTCCTGACTCCCTGACTAGCATAGAGACTCGGATGGAGTTCCTACTTCCTACCTTCACTTTTTTTTTTAAGGAATTATTTATGTTTATTGGAAAGTAATATATACAGAGAGGATGATACACTGTTTGATGATTCACTCCCCAAGTGACCACAACAGTCAGAGCTGACCCATTCTGAAGCCAGAAGCCAGGCGCTTCTTCTGGGTCTCCCAGGCAGGCGCAGGATCCCAAGGTTTTGGGCGGACCTCAACTGCTTTCTCAGGCCACAAACAGGGAGCTGGATAGGAAGCAGGGTTGCCATTCTAGTTTAGCGCCCATATGGGATCCCAGTGTGTTCAGGGTAAGAACTTTAGCCACTAGGCTACTGTGCCAGATCCCCTAGCTTCACTTCTAATTGGGGTATTTGGAGAATATGACCCAGTAGAAGAACCCACTCTTTCTATTTTACAGACATATTAAAAAAAATTAGTGATGAAGCAAACATAGCTCATAAATTCAATTCGCTACTATACATTTCTTACCTCATTCTCCTTTTTACTTTTTTTAGCCACAGATAAAATTTCCTAGGAGAAAACAAAAATATGTATGAGGCTCATTTATTTATTCAGTAAATATTTACTAAAGCCAACTTTATGCCAGAAAATAAGAACAGAAGCATTCAGGTAATTACAGCACAAATCTCAAACAGGAAGTTCTTAGGAAGAATTAAACCTACAGACATTTTTGCTGATAGTTAGATAAAATACTAAATAAACTCACAATACTAAGCACCTGGATTTTCCAGCTATTCTTAAAACCACATAAAACTAAATACTAATTCATAGCTAGTAATAACACTATAGCAAGTAAAACAGCATCCTGCAGCTGTTTATAAACTCCAGTTTGTTTTGCAGCTTGCTTGTTTGTGTAAATAAAGCCAGTAGAAAAGTCAGGCCTACTTTGTCTATGGCAGCTTTCAAGCTAAAAGTAAATCTGTGTTATCTTCAAAGAATGGAAAGGAGTTTGTTAGGCAAAAAGAATAAAAATTTAATGCAACTAACTTCCAGACTTCAACCAACAACCAGATGAGCTACAAAATGCAAACCTACAAAATATCTTTCAAATATCATTCTGTTCTTCAGGTGACAACCTCAAACTCCTGATCAAACTTAACCCCTACCACTCTTTCACTTAGCCTACTAACTGGAGCCAAATATAATTTCATTTACCTTTTGGGGACTTGCCAATCACTCTTGATTACTTGCCTAATATCACTAATATCCTACAATATTCCTTCTCTATCTTACCATAATTTTACTATTTTCCTTTTTACTTATCCACCTCTCATTTATTTATTTGAAAGAGTATTACAAAGAAAGAGAACTCCTACATCTGCTGGTTACTCCCCACATGGCTGTGCTGGCCCAAAGCCAGGAGGAGCCATCTTCTGCTGCCTTCCCAAGTATATTAGCAGGAAGCTGGATTGGAAGTGGATTAAGCCCATATAGTACACCAAAACTGAAGGCTGGAATAGCTACTACATCACAACTCAGGCCCCAATCCGTCCATCTTTAAATAAGTAAACTTTCTTCCCTCCAATCTCAACATACATGTCACTTCCAAGACACAAACTTTTATAAACCTCATGGTTGAGTTTCAGGAGGCCCTTTGGGTCAGCTGTTGGGGCCCAGAAGGTATCCCCTCACAGAGTACCTAGTTCAAATCTCAGCTTCCCACTCTGTGCTTCCCACTCAAATCCCTGCTCATGCCCCTGGGCAGCAGCAGGTGACAGCTCAAGAGCCTTACTCCCCGACCCAAGCGGGAGACTCATACGAAGTCCCAGGTTCCTGGCCTGGGTCCATCCCAGCTCCGGCTGGGGAGTAACCAGCAGATGTAGGAGTTCTCTTTCTCTGTAATACTCTTTCAAATAAATAAGTGCAGACACTTGGGGACTAAACCATTAGACACCAAGACCTCTCCTACCTGCCAAATAATAAACACCCAAATGAATCTTCATAAAAAGAGCCTATACACCCATTCATATTTTCTCAACAGCAACCATTCTAACTGAATACTTCAATATCATAAAGAATATTAACTTAAAAGGATGTTTAATAGCCTTTTTAAAAATAAAACTATAGACATGTTTTACATTTAGGGTTGATTTTTTAATACACTTAATATTAACCAAATCTTCACATAAATGCTTGAAAGCAAAGGAAAGATTTAAAAAAACAGTAAAAAGCTAAATAAAAGTGGTCTTTCCGTATTTCAGGTGGCTCAAAACCTAAACTAGACTCAACATCAAAATGCATACACCCGTCCCCATTTTTACCTCTTTGGACATGATCTCTGAAATATTGTATGATTCATCTTCTCTTCCTCTTTTCTTTCTCACACCTATAAATATGACAATTGGTTTTTAATAATAATTTACACAGAAATATAAACACATATTCCTCAAAACTAAAACAGGGAATTTACCTGCATTCTCTTCGTTTGTATCAACTGAATTTTTATCCTACAAAACAAGATTTAAAAATATTTTTACTATGGATCTTTCTGGTAGTAAATACTAAAAGATAATGATTAAATGCCAAGCTAAGTCTTCCTTGTGGTTGAACCAATTTCAGAATTCTTCATCATTGTATTTTATCTGCATACATCTTTTTATACATTTCCCTACTATAACTTATTTCATAATCACATTTCTTGACGTTTTCCAAATAGCTACACTTTGCTCAGATATTTTTTCAGCTACGAAAAGAAATTTCATAATCAAACACTGAAAACACCATTATTTTTAAGTTAAACATACATCTTCTCTTTTTTTAGTTGTATTTAACTTAATTGGGCCTGTGAAATTCCTCAGTGGCTGAAGTCCTCATCTTGCAAGCACGAGCATTCCATACAGGCCCTAGTTCATGTCCCAATGCTCCATTTGCCATCCAGTTTCCTGCTTGTGGCCTGGGAAAGCAGTCAAGGTTGGCCCAAGGTCTTAGGACTCTGCACCCATGTGAGAGACCCAGAAGAGGCTCCTGGCTTCAGATCGACTCAGTTCCAGCAGATATAGCTACTTAGACAGTGAGCTAGTGGATGGAAGATCTCTCTATTTGCCTATCTCTGCTCTCTGTAAACCTGCTTTTCCAATTAAAAAAAAAATCATAAAAAAAAACTGAATAGATTTTACTCCAAATGAGTATCCCTTTGGTAATGAACCCTGCCTGTGGAATTCTGGCTTGCTGTATTACCTTTATCACTTTTAAAGATCCCTTTTTTCTCTCCAATTTCTCTTTCTTCTTCTGTTCCTGAAAGCCAAGAAAAACAACAAATAAAACATGAATCTCAAGTAACTTATGTTCATGGTAAGAATATTGCATAATTATTTAAAAACAAAAACTCAAAACTTCAAACCTTAGAGAATTAACAGGCAGCAGATTTTCTGTCCTGCATAAACAATTAAAATCCAGATCAAATATGTTAAATTAGTGTTTTCAGACAACATATACAAAGGACAGAGAACACTAATAATTAATGACAAGAATGTTCTTACTGCCCAGCTTACTGCCTAAAGGTAACTTCCAAATAAGGGAGGAAGAACGGGAACAGCACCAACTGTGTTTAAGTAGACTGGATTCAAAACAGAGCTGCTGACATTCCTAAAGCCAGGAACCAGAGAATAAAACATTTCTACTAAAAAAAACAAAACAAAATCATCTCTCAAAACCAGAAAGGTTGGGTGGGAGCTGATAAGTACATGAATCAGGAAACCAAGGCCAGGAGAGCCAAGAGAACGAAAATATGCGAACATTTCTTATGCTTATAAGGAGTCAAGAATAAGAAAAAGTTTAGATTCTCTCAGCCACAACAGGAAAGAGCTAATATACAGAGCACTTGTATATTTAGAAGAACAAGTTATTTTTAGGTAATTTCTAGCTCTTCCTGATGTATCCTAACAAATGTGAACTGTAAGCCGTAACAGAATGTGCAGAAGAGCTCCTTAATAGTGAGTGCTGGTGGAACTCACCACAGTAAATGAGACTGTGTAAGAGCAAGGGAAGAACAGAAGGCAGGACGTGTCAGGAATGTTAGCAACTGTCAGCTTCAGCCAATGCTTAAAAATGATAACGAGGTAAACATAATTACTTAGAAGGGGGTAACTGCACCACAAAGGTCCAAATGCTAAAAAAAAAAAAAAAAAACAAGTGGCAGGCTTGAGAGCAGCAGCAAAATGGCTTAGTCTTACAGACTTCAACTTATCAGAACACAACGTAAACTACAAGGCAGCAAAATGGTATCCTCACAGAATACTGTAATAAGGGCCCGGCACAGTAGCCTAGTTGCTTGCCTTGCACACAAGACCAGGATACCATAGCAGTGCTGATTCTAATCCCACTGCTCCACTTCCCAACCAGCTCCTTGCTTGTGGGACCTGGCACCCGCATGGGAGACCCGGAAGCAGCTCCTGGCTTCGGATCAGCTCAGCACTGGCCACTGCAGCCACTTGGGGAGTGAATCAGCAGAGGGAAGATCTTCCTGTCTCTCCTCCTCCCTCCACATCTGATGTCGATCCCAAGATACACACTAGGTCCCCACAACCTCCTCTTTGACTTCACTAACTTGTTAGAATGGCTAATAGAAATCAGAAAATTACTTTTCTTCACTTATTGTAAAGGACATTACAAAGAACGCTAATTGAACACAACCCAAGAGATGAAAAGGCAAGGCACAGGAACAGATCATGGGGCTCCTTTGCCCTCTGGCCTCCACGCCCCAGGCACCTCCACACGTTTCCTTCTAGAGAAACCTTGAAACCTGTCCTTCACAGGTTGAATGAAAACAACTGTTGGAACTGGTAGTAAGTTGAACCATTAGCCCTTTCTCTGAAAGTCCCCACACACTCATCACCCCTCCTTTCACTATGCAGCCCCATCCGGAAGCTGTCTAGGGGTTACAAGCCAGTCAACTCACTAGCAAGCCAACTTCACAAAGACTCTAGGGAATTCTGTACCTATGTGCCAGGAAACAGGGATTAAAACCCAAACATTTCACATCATCAAAATATCATAATTACCATGATTCCACTTGTATAGCATTTTAGAAAAGCAGTACTGATTATAGTGACAGAAAGCAGATTAGTGACTGATGTGAGCAAACATGGGGACCATCACTGGTACAAGCAAACTTTTCCTAATGTGGGGCCCGGCGCGGTGGCGCAAGTGGTTAAAGGTCCTCGCCTTGCACGCCCTGGCATCCCATATGGGCGCCGGTTCTAATCCCGGCAGCCCCGCTTCCCTTCCAGCTCCCTGCTTGTGGCCTGGGAAAGCAGTCGAGGACGGCCCAAGGCTTTGGGAACCTGCACCCGCGTGGGAGACCCGGAAGAGGCTCCTGGCTTCGGATCGGCGTAGTATCGACCCGTTGCGCTCACTTGGGGAGTGAATCATCGGATGGAAGATCTTCCTCTCTGTCTCTCCTCTCTGTATATCCGCCTTTCCAATGAAAAAATAATAAAAATAAATCTTTAAAAAAAAAAAAATAAAAAAAAAACTTTTCCTAATGATACAAATGACATTCCCTCAATTGTATTGGGCTACACAGGGTATATCGACTCAATGGTCAAGCTTATCAAATGCAGGTATTTAGGCTCCTGGCAAGACAACAGCTCGTCTACACTGTGGTTCCTAGGTTTGAGTCCTGACTGACTCCATTGCCAATTCCAGTTCCCGTCAGAGCGTGCACCCTAGGAGGCAGAGGTGACAGCTCAAATGGCTGGGACAGTCATCAGATTCCTAGCACACCGGGTATCATTTTAAGAATTTTGAGACTGAACAAGATGGGGTTCCTTCTCCATCTCTCAAATAAATAAATAATCAGTAACAAAATTCTTCAAATTATAAACTTGAACTGCATAATGAAGCTGTTTCTCAAAAAAAAAAAAAAAATACTAAACCATAGTCAAATCGCATATACCCACCTCTAGTTGTTGTTGTTCCATTTTAGTCAGTAAAAACTTAGAGTAGATATTGCTTTTCTCCAGCAAATGTTGAAGTCTACGGTACCGAATTTCCGTGGACTCTCTGTCCCAAGACATGCGAGCCTATCAAAAAAAAAAAAAAAGAAACTGTCAAAATCACTGATGTTCTCTATGTTTCGCTGTTTTTTTACATAAGGTTTCACAAGCTAGCTAACATATAACCTTGGGTTTAAGATATTTCCTGTAACTAATGTAAAGAATCTCGGTGGGTCTCAGGACGGGGCGTCTCATGCCTGGATCCCGGACAGCCGCCATGTGCTGAGCTGTCCTCGGGCCTGCTGGTTCCGGGGGCCGCTTCCTTCGGGGTGAGTAGACCGAGGGGGAGGCCTCCGGGGCTGGGCAGGCCCGACACCCACCCGCCGCCCTCATGGGGCGGTGAATGGGATTTGGGAGGGGGGCGACCTTGGGCCTGGGTTATTTAAACCTCCAGCTGCCAGGGGGCTGCTGGTGGGTCTCAGGACGGGGCGTCTCATGCCTGGATCCCGGACAGCCGCCATGTGCTGAGCTGTCCTCGGGCCAGTGCGCCATTTGGTGCCAGGCTCTGCCTGCTGGCCGCCCGGCCGGGGAGCTCTGGGGATTTGGTTCTTTGAGTTGCTGCTTAATTCCCTCCAGTTTGAACCCATTGTGCTTCTTGGACCTGAAACAGGCAGTAACTCTTCCTTAGCAAAACTTGTAATCACTAATAATTCTGAGTACCAAATACCAGTCATGCAGAAGCTAGGGCTTGGGGCCTGTCCTGCAAAAGTAGCTCCAACAGTTGGCCAATGTGTCAACTGGTAATGGAACAGAGTAGTTTAGGCACGACTGAACAAACCTTAGCCCACAAGTAAAACTAGAAACCAGGAGGGAGCAGAGGTCTTGCCGAGCTAGGTTCTTGTACCTGCTGGTCTGTGGGAGCCAGGGACGCTAAGCCACAGTGTCTAAGGCAGAGGTCGGGACAGGTGAGGAGCTGTGCCAAGCTGAGTCAGAGCATCCATTGGCAGGCAAGTGATCTATGGCTGGGAACAGACCCGGTTGGGGAGCAAAGGGGACAACCCTAGCTGGGCTGAGGTTCCCACCAAGAGGCACATGGCCTGGAAGGGGAGCTGCGTTCTGATCTGGAAACAGTTGTAGTCTCCCTTGGCACAAGTGTGGACTGGGATTGGATGCACCGAACCGGGCCGGACCCCGACTCCCCCTGGTGTTCTGGAGGACCAGGGCAGATGTGGGATGGACCAGGCAGGGTCTCAAACCCCTACTGAGCCATGTGTGAGCCATATGTGGGTATAGACAAACCATGGCTGGGCTGGAACATCCAACAGCAAGAACCAGATTGGGTGGAAGGCCAGACAGGAAAAGCCACAGTTCCTGTTATTACAGGAGGTGGACTGAGTAGGGTTGGCTCATGGACCCACTGGTAAGCGTGAAACCTGGCATTGGGAGAGGTTCTGATGGAGGAGCCTGGGCAACTCCTCTGGCAGGACACAGACCCGGCAGGTAAACGCAAGAAACAAGATAGGAAACAGCCCAGAAAAGGCCATGGAAAGCTACCCACTGGCATACAATTGGCTGATGTGGGGGCAAGACCAGGCTGAATCTGTCCACATTATCCACTGGCAAATCCAGGCACCAGTGTGGGCCGACCTAGGGTTGGTCGCAACAAAGACTAGTGCACATTATGGAATGCCGAGGTGAGGTTGCCTGTACCGGAAGCGACCGCAGCGCCCTACCAGCCTGAGAACAAGAAAGGAAGTGGGCAGAGCCGACAGGGGAACAAGGGAGGGTTCCTTTGCAGGACAGCTACTTCCGCAGGAGAGCATGGGCTGGGATGGGGGCAGACCAGACTGGGCAGAGCTACCACACCTGTGCGCCTCATGTGGACCAGATCAGGGAAAAGCCGGACTCGGCGGATTATTCCTACTGGTGCAAGCAAAATTAAAGTGGGCAAGGGTTGTTTGGGCTTAGACGCAGCATCAACTGGAATCTGGGAGTGGGAGAGGCCTGGGAGGGAAATAGTGGGCTCATCCCTCTTGGGTTACCACTTTCACAGGACATAAAACTAAGATAACTAAGATAGCGGCTGGGGTGGAATGGGGTGTGGGACAGACTGGATTACTGCTACACTTACTGGCAAACCAGGGTAGGGAGTGGGTCTGGTGGGGGTTATTGTGGGTCGCTCCAACCTAGGCTGCAGCTCCCGCTGGTTTATGTGAGGGCCAAGTATGTGCTGGGCAGAACCAGGCTGGACTGCAACACCCATTGGTTCCAGTGGAAGTCGGGAGTGAAAACAGAACCAACCCAGCAACTGCAACCACCAGCTGATTGGAGCGATGGACGGTGCCAGGCCCTGTACTTGTTAGCACATACAAGAAGTTTCTTTGGAGATCTTCCTAATCTAAATGCTGGACTCAGAACCCTAACGAAGAAAAGAGAGAAGACAGAACAGGTCAAGCAACCATCTCAGCTATGATGGACTATGTCAATCAGTTGATTTTTCAAAGATCTCATAGTGCTTGGAGTGGCAAGATTGACAGCGATTCATGACTGTTGCAATATCAAAACCACTTGAGCAAGAACCTCAGAGCATGCCCTACATCCGGGACCTGGGGAGGGTGGGAAATTGGGTGGGCCTTCTCCCTTAAATAACCCCCTTTAAACATGAAGGTAACAATATGGAAAACATACTAGTATTATCCACTTTCATGTAGCCCTTGAACCTTCTTACCCTAATTAACTATGTAAAAAATGTCAAAATAAAATCTTATAAATAAAAAAAAAAAAAAAAAAAAAAGAATCTCCATGAGATTTACCAGAGCCATTTCGTTTTTCAAAGCAAAATCTGGACAACAGGTAGGCATTTGCCTCAGCAGTTACATCTTGTCCTGTAGCACAGCACTCCACCTCCTGTCTTTGGCTACATGCTCATGTAATGAAGATTCTGGGGGGGCACCATGCCAGTCCTGACCATAACAATCCTTTGAGGAATAAATCAGCATGCAGAAACTTGCTTCTCCGCCACTTAAGCTGGATAGATGCTTTCTTGTCAACTATGTCAAATATTCATTAAAATAAATAATACAAGGGCTGGCATTGTAGAATAGCAGATAAAAAATGCCAATTGGAATGCCAGCATCTCTCACAGGTAGTGGTTCACACCCTGGCTGCTCCACTTCCAATCCAACTCTCTGCTAATAGCTTAGGAACACTAGGGAAAGATGACCCGTAATGTTTGGGCCTCTGACATCCATATGGAGACTCAGAAGCCACTGGCTTTGACCTGACTCGGCTTTGGCCATGGTAGCCATCTGTGTACTGACCAGCTGAAGGAAGACTGATTCTCTCATTCTTTCTCCCACTCATTCATCTCTAACTGGTTTTCAAATAAATAAATAAATCTTAAAAAACAGAACTTAGAAATCAGTGTGAGTGCTGCAGCACAGCAGCCTAAACCACCTCTTGAAATATCTGCATCACATTACCAGAGTGCCTGATTCAAGTGTCTGCCTGACCCTCCTCCCATCCAGTCCAGGTACATTAGATAGTGCTCACCTGCCAGGCAGCAGGTGATAGCTAAATGTGGGCAATTGACAGGATCCCTGTCTGCTCTAGCACAAGCTGTGGCAAGCATCTGAGAGTGACTCAGCGGATATAAAACACTCTCCCTTTCAAATAAATCTTATATAGAAACACTGGCAGGGCTAGTGGCTAACTCCTTGCCTTACAGGTGCCAGGATCCCAGCTGCTCCACTTCCTATCCAGTTTTAGCTGCTCCACTTCCTATCTAGCTCCCTGCTTGTGGCCTAGGAAAGCAGTAAAGGATGTCCCAAAGCCTTGGGATCCTGTAGCTTCATGGGAAACCTGGAAGAAGCTCCTGGCTCCTGGCTTTGGACTGGCTCAGCTCTGGCCGTTGTGGGCACTTGGGAGTGAACTGTGGACGGAAGATCTTTCTCTCTGCACCCACTTCCCCCTGTCTCTCTCCTTCCAATCAAAATAAATAAATAAATATCTGCCCTTCCATTCAAAATAAATAAATATTTTTTTAAAAAAAAAAAGCACAAACAAAATTTAGAAAATATTTAAGTAGTATATGTTTTAAATAAACAAATTCCTTTACACATAGATAAAATCTTTGTTATTAGTTTTATTACAAAAAGCAAGCTTTTTTAAAAATCTCATTAGTCAGGGACTAGAACATCTTGTTCAAGAATTCTTACACTGAAATGTGAAAGTACTGAACACAAGGGACAAGCAATGCAGCACAAGACTAACGCTGCGACTTGTGACACCAGCAGCCAATGCTGGAGTGCCAGATGGAGTGCAGCTGCTTGCTAGAGCACCTGAGAAAACAGCAGCATGGGGCCCCATGCTTGGGCCCCTGCTGGCCACAAGGAAACTGGGATGGAATTCTGGGCTCCTGGGTTCAGCCTGGACAAGCCTCACACTTTGGGGCAATTTAAGGAACGATACAGCATAAAAGATGCCTTTCTTTGACTAACTTCCAAACAAATAAGTGAATTTTTATATAAAAGAAGAGGGTCTTAAGTAATTTCTACAAGACTGCATGGCTCAGAGAACACTCCCCGAATCACAATGACAGGAAAGTTAAAGCTTTTTACAAACACCAGCATATCACAAATAAAAAACATACGTAAGATTATACAGCTCAGGCACAGCACGGTGGCATGGCTAGACAGGCATCTGCCTGCAGTCAGCATCTCATACAGGCATCAGTTGGAGCCCTGGCAGCTCCACTTCCAATCCAGCTCCCTGCTGCTGGCCTGGGAGGGCAGCAGAGGACAGCCCAAGTACTTGAACCCTGCACCCACAAGGAAAATCCAGAAGAGGTTCCTGGCTTCAGAGGAGCCCACCTCCAGCCTTTTTGAAAACATAAGGAGTTATGGAGGATCTCTCTCTTACTCTTTAACTCTGCCATTCATATACAAAATAAATCTCTTTTTAAAAAATTAAATAGTTTAATAGTCATAAATCTTTGCTACAAATGACCAGATAATAGATATTTCAGCATTAAACACTGATCTAATGCAAATATTCAACTTTGCCTTTGTAGCAGTCATGAACAGTAAACAGATACAGCTGTGTTTTATTTACAAACAGCTTTTCAGGTCAAATACCCCTTATAATTTGCCAAGTCCACGTAAGCTGAACTCCACAAAAAACAATTCCAGTGTGTTTAAGTGAGATGAGTGCAAGTTTAGTTCATCTAGCAAGGCTAACATATTTATAACCCTGGGCAACTAACAATTATGTTCCAGACACTGTAAGTGTGTGTACCCCACCCAGGCCATTTAAATCAGGATAGGGGTAGTAAGCAAAGGGATTAAAATTTTTTCTTTTTCTAAACTGAAACTTTCTTTGAAGACATTTATTCTTACTGAAAAGGCAGATTTACAGAGAAAAGAGACAAACCAGAAAGGTCTTCCATCCTAATTCACTCCCCAAATGCCAGTCAGATCTGAATCAATCCAAAGCCAAGAGCCAGGAACTTCTTCCAGGTCTCCCACGTGGGTGCAGGGTCCCAAGGCTTGGGGCCGTCCTCGACTGCCTTCCCAGGCCACAAGCAGGGAGCTGAATGCGAAGTGGAGCAGCCAGGACACGAACCAGCATATGGTGCTTGCAAGGGGTTAGCCAATTGAGCCATTGTATCAGGCCCAATAATCAAGATTCTAACAGAGATCCAAGATTGAGAACTCTTCAAAGGATAGCTGAACATAACACTTTGGAGATAACTGCCAATTCACACTGCCTAACCACGGAAGACTGGGAGACAACACTTATATCTTTTTTTTTTTAAAGATTTATTTTTATTATTTTTTATTGGAAAGGCAGATATACAGAGAGGAGAGACAGAGAGGAAGATCTTCCATCCGATGATTCACTCCCCAAGTGAGCCGCAACGGGTCGATACTATGCCGATCCGAAGCCAGGAGCCTCTTCCGGGTCTCCCACGCGGGTGCAGGGTCCCAAAGCTTTGGGCCGTCCTCGACTGCTTTCCCAGGCCACAGGCAGGGAGCTGGGTGGGAAGTAGGGCTGCCGGGATTAGAACCGGCGCCCATATGGGATCCCGGGCGTGCAAGGCGAGGACTTAACCACTTGCGCCACCGCGCCGGGCCCTACACTTATATCTTTAAATGTCAGCTCCACAGGGCCAGCAACGCGGAGCCATCGCTCCTCTTCCCATCCAGCTCCCTACAAAAGAGCAGAGGAAAGCAGCAGAGGATGGCCCAAGGACGTGGGTCCCTGTCACCCATGGAAGACCTGGTCAGTGCTCCAGGCTCTCTGGCTTCAGTCTGGGAAATGAACCGGCACATGGAGGATCTCTGTGAACACTGTTTCTTTCTCTTTATCTCCCTCTCTGCAACTCTGCCTTTCAAATAAACAATTTTTTTTTAAAGTCAGTCCTCTAACACCAATCCAGCTCAATCAACAAACAAGTACGGAAGCACTGAATCTATACTTCATTAGATAAAGTACTGCAACACAGAAGGTTGGCTTACACTATGCATAAGGTGACACCATATAATCTGAAAACTAGCTCGGATACAGACATACTTAATATTAAACCGTACAGTACCAGCTGTAAATTCTAAAAATCCAAAGTATTATCACTGAAGACATCATATTCCAGGAAACGAAACAGATGTCAACGACATCTGTTCTAACATACGCAAATAAAAGAAAAGCTCAAAAGAGTTCTTGCGGAGCCTGATACGGTGGCCAAATGGCTAAATCCTCACCACGGAAGGGCCAGGATCCAACATGAATGCCAGTCCATGTCCTGCTGACTCCACTTTCCATCCGTCTCCCTGCTGGTGGCCTAGGAAACCAGTCAAGGACAGTCCAAAGCCTTGGGACCCTGCACCACGTGGGAGACCAGAAACAAGCTCCTGCCTCCTAGCTTTGGTTAAGCTCAGTTCCAGCCACTGCAGCTATTTGAGTAGTAAACCAGTAAATGGAAGATCTTTCTCTGTCTCTACTTCTCCCTGTAAATCTGATCTGCCTTTTCAATAAAAATAAATTTTTTACAAATTAGTTCTTGCAATAAGCAATACTGATTGTCTTGACAATGGCACTAAGAATCATACTTAAGTCTTTAGAATTAAAACAGGTCTTCATAGATTTGGTTATATATGTCTCATTTTATACAATCTAGAAAAAACTCCTGCCTTATCAAGTTTACCCAACTCTTTAGTAACAGAGCCAGTGTTTTATTTATTTTTTAAACATGTATTTTTTTTTTTCTCGGAAAGGTCAATTTACAGAGAGAAGGAGATAAAGAGAAAGATCTTCTGTCTACTGGCTCGCTCCTTAAGTGGCCACAACAGCTGATCCTAAGCCAAGTGCTAGGAGTTTCTTCCAGGTCTCCCCCATTTGAGTGCAGGCTTCCCAGGCCTTGAGCCATCCCTGATTGCCTTCACAGGCCACAAGCAGGGAGTTGGAAGGGAAATAAAGCAGCTGAGACTCAAACCAGCACCCATACGGGACCCTGGCACATGCAAGGCAAGGATATAGCCACTAGGCTACTGCAGCAAGTCTCAGTAATTTATTTTTTTCAACTAAAACCAATCACCAACTTTTCAACCTATATGAATAGGGGAAAAGCCCCAAGACTGAGAAAATACCCTGCCTCCCTTCCACCACAGTTAGAGGGCTCAAGTAGGCTGGAAATAGCGAGTTCAGAGTTCGTATTTCTGGATACCACTTCATCACATTAACCTTTCAAAACAAATATTACAATAGCACAAAAATAGCAATCTAAGAAAATAATACATGCATTCAGGAAAAATTAACTCAAAAATGCTTAAGTGACTCATAATATTAGTTGTTTTTCAAATTCTATTTTAACTTATTCTAGGAACATCCTACTTCTGTGATCATAGTATGCAGTCAATGAATAAGGTAAATATTATAAAAAGATCAAAATTAATTAGACTTTATAAAATGAACTGTTAACTTTTTGGTAAAAATTGGGATGGGCTTGATAGGTCAAGTGACTAATCCTCCACCTGCAAGCACCAGCACCCTATGTGTGCACTGGATGTCATCCTGACTGCTCCACTTCCTATCCAGCTCCCTGCCTAACGGCAAGAAAAGCAGAAGATGGTCCAAAACCTTGGCCACCTGCACCCACACGACAGACCCAGAAGTTGTTCCAGACTTCAGATCAGCCCAGCTCAGGCCACTGTGGCCATATGAAGAATGAACCAACAAATGGAAGATCTTTCCCTGTCTTTCCTTCTCTCTGTATATCTGACTTTCCAATAAAAATAAATAAATCTTAGTTCTACTCTGTGCATTTGTCCTAGGATCTGTACTGCACAATTCACCTGATTATATAACTAATGAGTGTGTCTATGTGATACCAATATAGTATAAAATGTTCTTTTTTGCACAGCAACTTAAATATCACAGACTACTATGTGCCAAGGTACACAACCTACAGAAACAAAGCAGGATGTGATGCACCATCAAGAAACAAAGAGGCAAGCAATATACATTTACTAGACTACTACAGGGATTCAGAGAATGTAGTTAAAGTCATACCCTCTAGTTCTATTAACTCCTTATGTTTCCTAAAGCAAAAGGAATTCATGTGACTTGAAGAACATTTGTTAATATATTTATGCCCTTCACTAATATTATGATTAACAGTGGATCATTAGCAACCAGACTAACGCAGCGGTTAAAACACGTAAATTCTGGAGCCACAAGGCCCGTTTCCAATCTCAGCCCTGTCATTTACTGATTCTGGGATTGCAGGCAAGCTCTATATACCTCAGTTTTTTCATCTGTAAAACGAAGTAAACAGAACCTACTTTACTATGGAGGACTTTAAAATAATTCATTGTAGTAATAAAACTACTAATAACAGGAAAAAACAACTTTAAAGACAGTAGGATCTTCATAGAACAGTTGGATTCAGTAAGCAGAACCTCTAAAGCATTCAAAACAATCTCCCACTGATAAGTCTTCCAAAAGTTCATGGAAAATGTGTATTATCTTTCCATTTAAAACTGCCCATAAGCACTTTGAAATATGCTCATAAATGTTCAAGTATTAACCACGCTAACAAAAAAATCAGTGTTATTGATTGATGAGAGCAGGAACCATTTGACTCGCTCCCCATTTTCAGTGCATTGCATTCCCACTTAAGCATTTTGATTAGTTCAATATTAAATTATGCATTTCCTGAGAGGCGCAACAGTTAATGACAGGAAGCAGCCAGACGTGACTTCAGCACTTACTGTGACCAACTGCCTCAGTTTCCTCAGTCTGTAATTGGGGGATCAATAAGCATCTAAATCATCGTACTACTGCATGACTAAAATCACCACTCAGTTCTGAGCCACTTGTCTCTTTCCTGAACATACAGCAATGAAAGCAGGAAAGCAGCTTTTCAAACTACACTTTACAGGGCCGAATTACTGGTCTACAACTGGGTTTTCTTTTCTACAAGTGTACTAAAGCGCAATAACCTGGCACCTTCAACAGTGCACCACATGATTGGCTAAGGAATCTTACCTGGCCACAGACACTCGCAAAGAACCAAACAGAAAAAAGAAAGCGACTTCATCACTTAGCTGGGCCAACAGCCGGGCCGGCCCTGGATGCCTGCCCTGCCCCTGCCGGGTGGATGCCAAGTGCCACCGGCCGCCCTCGCTGCTGGCCACTCGCTCCCATCGCTTCCAGGCAAGGCAAGGGCAAACCCACTCCCCGGGGCGCGAACCTGACTCCCCCCAAGTTACCTTCTCCAGCATCTTCCGCTCTCGCTCCAGCCCCGCGGCCTCAAGCTGCTGCTCCTCCTCTAGCATGGCGGGGGTAATCACGGCGCCCTCCTGCTGCCCCTCCATCTCCGGGAGCGCGGGCCCTGCAGGGAGACCACGTCGCCTCGAGACTGCCCAGCCCACTGCCCGCCAGCAGGCCGCCTGCCCGGCTCCCCCACAGGCACCGGACACCCGCGGGGTGCGCCAGGTCCTGCCCCTCGTCAGCGTGCCCACCCGGACGCCCCCCGACCCCGGGAGCGAGCCCCTCCGTTCCTGCACCGCCGTGCGATCCCCAGGCGGTCCTCCCCCCCCCCCGAGCCCCTCTCAGGAGCCGCCGCTCCCCGGAGGGCCGTCGGTTCTCCTCACTCACCGTCGCTGCCTGCGGGCTGCTCGGCCGGCATGGCTGGATCCTCCCGCGGGAAGCAGGTCCCTGAGAAGCCCGGCGCCCTCACGAGCCCCGCGCTCACTGCCCACGGGCGCCGCTCGCGCAACCTTCCAGTCAGGTATCCGGCCCGGGAAAAACGCGCGCTTCTGCTTCGCGGGAAAATTCTGTGCTCTCGCGAGAACTCCCGCTCCCCGCCCGCCTTCCGGCCAGGGCGGCGCTAGAGGCGCGGCGGACGGTGGTTTCCCGGGGCGCCGGGGGACCCTGTCCCGCACCCGGGCTTGGGGTGACTGGGCTCCGGCAGCGGACGCCGGCACGCCCGTTTCCGACCTGTAGTTTGCAGGGAGCGTTGACACGCTGGCTGCAGGGATTTAACACCCCGATAAGCTCTCGGGCGTGTGCGGGCCAGGACGTTGTAAACAAACTCTTGTCTGCCCCGGAGGAGAGCTCGTCCGTGAGCGGAAAGGGGATAGAATACTTGGATTTGATCGGGTTCAAGAAAGTTGTTTGGGCGAACGGAAGGCTGAATGCAGCGTTGAACGGAGTGCTCGGCAGGGGAGGGCAGATTCCGGCATTTTATAGAGAAGTCCTACCCTAACGCTGCAACGGCGCTTTCAACTTCACTTTTCTATCCTGCAATTCTCTTCAACTCTTTCGTTTTCCGCTCCTCTCTGCTCCCATTACCTCAGAATATGCAATATATCAGCTTCCTTCGTTTCTGGCTGCTTTAATGCTGAATTCTAGATAATAAAATATTTAATAATTCTCGCCTGTCAGAAGCACCTTTGGCAACCTTCAGAACAGCGTTTTACGGGCCCACGTTGGGCAGCGGCTAAGCCAAGCCTGGGATGCCCACTCCCGCCTGTCGGGGGCCTGCATCCCGGCTTCTCTTGGATTCAACCACGCTAGTGCACCCTGACCAGCTCATAGCTCTAGTAACTTGGGTCCCACGTAAGGCTGGACATGGCTTGGCTGCCGCGGCCTTGACTGTTGGAAAAATCTAAGGATTGAATCAAGGGCTGGGAAATCTCTTTCAAAACAAAGGTTGAAGATTTTTTCTACTCTTCGAGCCAGCACGATGGCTCAGTGGCTAATCCTCCACCTTTAACCTCTGACATCCCGTATGGGCACCGCTGCTCCACTTCCCATTCAGCTTGTGCACTGGGAAAGCAGTGGAGGACAGCAAAAGACCTTGGGACTCTAGCTTCAGACTGAGGAGTGAACCATCGGATGGAAGATCTTAGTTTCTTCTAATGTGCCTTTCCAATAAGGATAAATCTTTTGTTAAAAAAATATTACTTTTATTCTTACTTTTGAGAAAACCGATGCTCAGAGAGGATACACTGACTGCAACAGAAGCCTTGCGTCACTGTATGATAAGAGGCCTAGTTTTTTTTAGGTAGTTACATTTTTTTTTAACTATACCCTGTTAACAGTTAACTGTTGAAACCCTGTTTCCTCACAAACTACTATGATTTTCCCTAACAAATAGAGAAAATTTTTCCTCAGTTTGATGCTTTTCACTACACACTTCTGTTTCTTGCAGCAACTGCTCCATGTTATAATTCTTCAAAGAAAGGGTGGGAAGATTTGTCCAAACAGATGTGGAAAGAGTTCAAAAAACTTTGATCTGATTCTTAAAGGACAGCATCTCAGCTAACATATGCCAACATTTAATGAAAGTGCTCAGTGTATTTCCTGACACATCCTTGCCATGTTGCAGGAAGGCTGTGAGAAGTTCGGGTTATACACTGTAAAGGGACTATGTTCTGTGAGTTGAGGCAATTAAGGCAGAGGGCAGTACTCTATAAAATACTAGAACACGGCAGTCTGAGAATGGGAGGTTATTTTACATCAGATAATCTGGTATCCTAAAATGTGACAAATAAAAGATAATTAAAAAGTTACAATAAAACAGAGAACCCAAAATCCCAAAAACCCAACCAAGAATTATGCAAGCAGCAACTATAGCTAATGCAAAAGGATCTACACAAAATAAGTGTGGCCATGTTTGAGAGCAGACAACCAATCTGAAACATAGCTGGCAAGGGAGAGTGGCACAAAAGGCAGCATTGGAATTTTCTTCTAAGATATTACCAATCATGTTTCCCTACCATCTAAAATGTCTTCCTCCGTTAGAATCCTTTCCAGATTAACGGTGGCATCATCCACCCAATCACAAAAGTCCAAACAAAACTATCCTTTTCCTTCTTTTGCTAGATGGTTCGGGCCAAATCCCCCTTTTAAGCCTTTCCAACATCTAATTTACACACCTACCAGCATTTGAATACCTTTTTCTCTTTCTCTATTCATACACATCCAACTCCCTGCAGCCTACTCAAGTATCTCAGATTACATGCCATTCCATTCTATTTCCTAAACCTCTACTGAATCCTGTCCATTCAGAATCTAATACTCAAATCTCTCCCATTTTTTTTTAAAGGGGGGAAGAGGACCTTCTTTTCACAAGCAACTATTTGCAGCTTTCTCTTCTGGAGTATAGTTTAGAAATCTTTAACCATTTGCTTCACATTGCTGCAAAAAAAATCTTACCTTTTGTCTGGTTGCCACACACCACGTTGCTAAGCCTAACAGACATCCCGCAGTTGTTAGCTCAACCTCCCTTTGGCATCAGCACCGTGAAGCACTACTCTGTGTACAAACCCCATCCCTTGCCTTTCCAGACCCTACAATCTCCTGCTACTCCTGTTCCTGAGTGCTAGCATGCCACACTCCCAAGTATTGGAATATTACAGTGAACAAGAAATAAGTTGAGCTGAGTTTCTGGCCAACGGAATAATTAATACAAAAATTTTACATGAAAGGTAAGTTCTGTGAGAAATAAAACAAAACTATTTATTACCCCCATCTATCATATGTTGTGTCAGGTACTATTTGGTGTGTAGCAGTTCGGTAGTTTAAAAAAAAAAAAGTCCCCTGTATTTAGGCTATATAATAAATGAGGGTAAGTGGGAGTTGAAACTGGACAGATTGGCAGAGACCAGATTACGTTGGACCCTGTAGACCAGAATAAACAAGTTAATTTTTATTATGATAATTACTCATTAGAGGGTCTTGAGGAAATGATGTATTTCATTGGCACTCTTTAAGAATCCATAAAATGTAGTCATTAAAAATTGAGAGAGGCTTGTTTATTTTCAAGGGTTCACAAATATGAGTCTAAAAACCAAATCAGGGAGAAGAGTGGCATAGGAAGCTAAGCCTCTGACTTCAGTGCTGGCATCCCATATGGACACTGGTTGGAGTCTTGGTTACTCTGCTTCTGATCCAACTCATTGCCAAGGATGGCTCAAGCGTCTGAGCCCCTGAAGCCACATGGAAGACCGGAAGAAGCTCCCGGCTCCCAGCTTAGGATCAGCTAAGCTCCCGCCACTGTGGCCACTTAGGAAGTGAACCATCAGATGGAAAACCAGTCGCTCACTTCTCCGTAAATCTTTCAAAATCGTAAGAAATATGATAAAGTAATAAGGAATCAGTTTCTTGAAATACAATTAAAAGTCACATGATATGACTTCAAATTAGAATAAACCCTATCATTGAAATGCCTGCCTTCCTCTCTGTTGAGACTGAAGTCCAAACACATCTGTTAGAGAATTCTACAATTTATGAAGATTACAAGTCAAGGAAATATTTCCCTTTTATATTTTCTTAGAAATATTTAAAATTGGGCCCTGTGGCGTGGCCTAGCCTCACCTTGAACATGCCCGGAATCCCATATGAGTGCCGGTTCTAATCCCGGCAGCTCCACTTCCCATCCAGCTCCCTGCTTGTGGCTTGGGAAAGTGGTCAAGAACAGCCCAAAGCTTTGGGACCCTGCACCTGTGTGGGATACCCGGAAGAAGTTCCTGGATCCTGGCTTCGGATTGGCTCAGCTCCAGCCACTGCAGCCGCTTGGGGAGTAAATCATCGGATGGAAGATCTTCCTCTCTGTCTTTCTTCTTCTCTGTCTCTCCTCCTCTCTGTATATCTGACTTTCCAATAAATAAATAAATTTTTTTTAAAGAAAAAAGAAATATTTAAAATTTAAAAGCCTTGTGATTTATGTAGTAATCAAAATGTTATCTGCTTACAAAATTGCTTTTCATACGGTCTAGATGAGAATTTAAAGTAGTTTTTTTTTTAAGATTTATTTATTTTTATTGGAAAGGCAGATATACAGAGAGGAGGAGAGACAGAGAGGAAGATCTTCCATCCGATGGTTCACTCCCCAAGTGAGCGCAATGGCCAATGCTATGCCGATCCGAAGCCAGGAGCCTCTTCTGGGTGCAGGGTCCCAAAGCTTTGGGCCGTCCTTGACTGCTTTCCTAAGCCACAGGCAGGGAGCTGGATGGGGAGCGGGGTTGCCAGGATTAGAATCAGCGTCCATATGGGATCCCAGCGTGTGCAAGGCAAGGACTTTAACCACTATGCTGTCGCACCAGGCCTGAAAACTTGAAGTTTTATTTTCTGCTTTTATACTATCATGATGAAATATTATGCCGGAAAATGAAACATTAGAACTAAGATCCCCCTATTGTCAGTTTTGCATACTCCCTCAGGTCTGTATATCATTTATGTTTTTATTACAAAAGTGATTTTCCAAATACATTGCATGGCATAAAATCAATTTACCTTAAATTGAATAAAATCCTAAAAATACTATTTAAATGTTTAACAACTGAAACATTTTGGCAATTTAACTTTTAAAAGTCTAACTTCTTTCCTAATGCTTACCAGAAAATAAATCTAGCCCACAAATAGAAATATACACAGTAAAATCTCATTAATTGTAAAAAGAATAATCAACATGAAATAATCTATTTTAAAGGAAACCATTTTTGCTAACTTCCCAAGCTTTAGAGCTTTATGTATGCTACAAAATATAAAAGAATAGTGCATAGCATATAATAAGGCTTAATAAATTTTACTTCAGTAAGTAAAATTCCCATGTAATATACTTCTATTGCAATTGCATTCTTAGTAAGAAAGCAGTATCTTTAAAGGGTAAGGCTTTCTCTGAAGTGGCTACTTTCCATGAAATCTTG